CGGTAACACTCTATGAAAGTAAATGAGTCCCACCAGCTTTAAGTCAAAGTTTGTGTCTAATTGATGTGGTGACAAAGTTCTCAGATAATTACATTTGTGCTTCAGCCACTAATGAGAGTCAGAGGCAGGAAAAGGAGCGAGTCAGCAGCCTTCGCAAACATCTGATCAGCCTTCATGCTGTCTTTGATGAAGATCTGTGCTGAAGGAGCGGCGGCGGTGGTTGCAGCACCCAGCTAATGTCCACCAACAGAGGAAGGCCTTATTAGCCAAAATCGTTATTGATCTCACATCTTAGCCACAACCAACCCTAACCGCCCAAACTCTTCCTCCCATCGTGCTCGCCAATTAGCTCTATCAAAAAAACAAGGCCAATTAGTTCTTGTGCCTAATTAGGACAAACATGACCCCCATCAGCCCTAATTCTGTGATTAGAGTTACAGATCGCTGGGCCGAGGCCCGGATACAGGTTCACGCTCTGATTTGCTCCTGTACTTTTTAATGAGTTCAGTGAGTGTTTTGGAGTTTTGTTAGGTTGTATACCGTCTTTGATCATACAGGTATGTGCATGCATACGTACAGTTTCGTATAACTAAATAAACACATACAGTACTCTGTAAATTAGCAAATATTGCTCAGAGTTAAAGGCCAGTGTTTGAAACTGGATTGAACATTTTTTAATCTCTGCACTTTCTATCGGGTCCTGATACATTTATTGTAATACAGATTTCTGCAGCATTAATTCTATTTGTGCACAATTGCACACCACCTGTTATGTATCACCTGTATCATATTTTATACACTTATTACTTATCACTGCTTTCTGAGACATCTTTAAAAATCATTTGGAACGCATCTATGGTAAAAAGAAATGTTTCCGATTTAGAACCATAGAACCACCATTAGAGCTTTTAGAAGCTCTTATTGTGAGACATTTAAAGTCGTGCTAATGTTACTGCTAACTGGTAATGGCATTTATCTGTCGTGAAAGGAAAGAGATTATTATATCTTTTGAAAAATAGAATATAATAGAATAGCCCTTTATTGTCAGTGTACATGTAGAACAAAATTGTAGAACTAGAAGACTTCATTGGTATCTGTATTCTCATACAGTTAACAAAGCGTACCAGTTCTTCTGAAGGGACAGGTGGCCAAAATTTGGAAAAAACACAAACCGTGTCAATATATGAATAGAAACAAGTAAAAATGTCAAACATCATTAAATAGATACATGTATTTACATTTTTTCCACCTAATTGTAACACACAGATGTGATGTACGGTATTTTTGACCAGACTTGCCTGCTTTCATTTGAAATGAGGCATGAAACAACAGTTTGATTGAACTGTGCTATGACTGCAAAGATCGAACAGAAGGTGAGCTTCCTGTTTATCTCCTGTTACTCTTGTAAACATCACCTGTTCAAAGATGGCTCCCCTGAGAAAAACACTCCACTCTGACAGTGTCGGAGAACTCACGATGACAAACAGTGACAGACAGAGGGGCTGAACCTTCCAGGAGGAACATCTGTAACTCTGTTTGGCAGGGTTAGTGCAAGATTGACTTATAGACAGAACAGATTATTTTGAAATAAATGGGTTTAAAAGTAAAAAGCTTAAAGTTGAAAATAAGGGAGGTCACTGAAGACCTGCCTGAATTAACCTGTCCTCTATCATTTGATGGCATTCTTTAACATGTAGAACCGTGAACACAAAAACCCTTATACTAAACATTAAGTGAACAAACCCTTGTTATAGACTTTTTATAAACTTGTGCAGAGTCTCGAGATCAGAAAGGAGAACAGCCTGCATAGAAAACACACCAAATCTCAGCTGTTCAAAGCACTTTCAGCTCAGTTGTGGCACTGGCACGATCTGCTCTGGTAGCCAGATGTGGCCCAACAGCACACCTCAAGTTTGCCACCCAAAACTCAAGCCTTGCTTTGAGTTAGCAGGATTAGCAAAAGCCAAATGTGGCCTAAAGGAAACTGTAAGTGCAAGGCCACTTTTGGGCCAAATGGTGATTGCTGTGTGGGAGGACTAGCTTTAATTATGAGATCAGATTTGACACCGTCTGTGGTGGCCTGCATGCATTACCTGGCCTGTAATCTGTTTGTCAGGGGAGCAGGATGGGTAAGATCAAATTTCCTGGAAGTCCAGAGAGTGTGAAGCTTTTTGGGCTTAGCCTCTGTTTTGATAGTGACAACTTGAAAGCTTCGGTTTAATCTGCCTAAATCTGCAATCATGTAAATCTGTGTCACATTAGCTATTTTAAATAATTTAGGTCATAAGTACTGTAAATATCAATCCCTCAAATTACAATTGAAAGTAACTTCCATGCATGTGTATAACCAGGAGGAAATGCTGGCGTGTAAATGCTGCCTGCCAGTATTCCCTTGTTCAGTGGGCGCTGGTTAAAATGCTACAGAGCCGAATGTAATATTTGCTCCTGGAAGACTTTTATAATAAAGTTTCTACTGTTCTCCCACCGGCAAAGTCGATGGCAGTGATCGCAGCTTTAGTTTAACAAAGTTCCCGTGCACACAGTAGTCCAGCTGAACTCAAGTGCTGAGTCCTTCGTCTGTTGTTGTGGAAGTGAGTCAAGTTTGGAGTGTGTTCAGCTGTACAGCTCTGAGGCAGTCCGTGCTCTATAAGCCTCCTGCTGACATGACGTTTGGAGGCAAAGCACTTATTAAACAGCCGCTCTGAACTCGGCAGCCACTCGCACATGACTTAACATTTTTGCAAGCACCTTGCTTTTGCATGGGAAGTGCTTAAAAACTAAAATCCATGGCAGCGGCGGCCGTGAGAATACGGGAGGGGAAGCGTTGAAAAAAGACAGAGCGCGTCCGCTACTCAGCACTCCGCGGGATTAGAACGCACACATCAAGCCGCAAACAGACAGAAAAGCCGACTGTAGCTCCTTTTTTGCAAAAAGGAGGCAATGAATTTCAATTATGCATGAAGCAGAGGCCATTTTGGGAAATAAGCGCCATCCCCCAGGAGGACCGCCACCTCCTCTGCCCCCTCTTGAGCCCCTAGCCTCTAGTATCAAAGAATGATCTAATGTCACGCACAGGAGAAAGGTTACTTTCTGCATACGCATTGATATTTCTGCTTCCATCTCTGACCTTTTTCCACTCTAAGCTGTGATTTCTTTAAAATGCGAACTCAGCCCCGCGTCTGTCTGTCAGTCTCCATCTGTCTGCCTCCGTACCTCAGAGGTACCTCAGAGGTACAGGATGAGAAGCTTCAACAACTTACAGAAAAACAAAAAAAGAAAATCCAGATTTGAGAAATCGTGACCGTAATAATCACACACTAAAACACAGATGGGTTTTTTTCTGCAGCCATCATCTTTCATTATGTCATTTTTCTTTTTCAAGAACAAGGCAGTAACAGAATTGTTATTTTAGCCTTAAGTGGCTGTTTGCGAAACCTAATTAATATTTTAATGAACCTGAGCGTGTTTTTCCCTCTTTCACTAAATCAGCTGATCCTGTTTCACGCTCAGCGCCCATCGTTGGATCTGCGCATTCCTTCTGTCAGCAACAAATTCCTGGCACTTTATGAACTATTAGTGACTTTAAAAATACACAGAGCTTTAATTAATTTTCTTCAAATAGAGAGAACTGCGTGTGGATAAAGGGGTAATGACAGTTTTAATCAGCATCTCCTGCTCTTGCCAGCCTGTACACAGCTGAACTGTGACACTGCACTTGCAGTTTTGTTAGATTTTACAGAACAAAAGCATCATTTATGAGATCTTTGGATACATAAATACCAATATTTATTCAGTAAACACATTTATCTGACTGTAGTCAAATGCAATTTACAACCAACTTTGGCTTTTAGCTGCAAACTCTCAGGGGAAATTGTTCTGCTACATAAGACAAAATCCCACAGATGAGCATTAATGCACAAAACAGCAAGTAAAGTTCAACCTAATAAATAACAATAAAAAAGAAAGACTTGCAGACACACATTTGTTACTGCTGGAGGTATTTATATGCATATACCTGGAAAAAAGTGCTAGCCTATAGTAACCGGAATCCAAGCTTTATCATAATAGGATGCAAAGAAGAAAAAGCATCAGAGTCCAGCTTGCTCTCTTCAAATCTGAGAAAGGAAATAATGGGCATATCCATCCCGAACTTAAATACAGATCTTAAATCCTTGTGTCCGTATCCCTGGCCTGTTCAATGAAATTCTGTAGATTTGCAAATGTAATCAAAAGTTCCATCTTCAAAGCTTCATTTGTATTTTAGCCAATATTCATATAGCTAAGGCGACATGGAGTGACAATCAATTCTAAAGCTTCTCTGACTTTTTATTTATTAGCTTTAAAAGGTCCAGGTTTGGGGCCTCATTTGCTGAGATGAGACAACAACAACAACAACAACAACAACAACAACAAGCGACGGGACACTACCTATTCAGCTCAGAATAGCAGACAGACACCGTTAAAGACCATTCCACAAAAAGACACATTACAGGCGCTTCTCTTCACAGAGGTGGCAAATAATAGCATTTTGTCAAAGCTGCTGTTGTGTACAAGCACAAGATGTCCTTTGGCAGCAGTGTGTAACCCACTGGGTTATGACAATAGTGAGATGGGGCTGCCACTGCAAATATATTTTTCTGCAGTGGTTGAGTGTGATGTGCTCCTTTTAACCCAAACTTTGAGAAAACACCAAAAAACACTCTTTCTAACCCTAACCGAGTAGTTTAAAGTGTCTAAACCTCACCCAAGAGTAATAGTGGAAACAAAAGCAGGACAGGACTTGAACTTATCCCACCCAAATCCTTAAAACCTCCTAATGTGGATCGCTATTGTTGCAGCTGGTGCATCAAGCCCAGACTAGAGTTTATTATTTATTATCTCAGGCTTTTTATGTGAAACCTCTGCACCGTAATGTCATCTTCATCTCCCACCTTTCCTCGCGCTGCTGTTTCCACGGTACTCATGCTTTCTCTTCTCTGTTTTATTGTGTCTCTCTGCAGATCTCAGGCCTCTTCCCGACGTGGCAATGACCGGTAAATGCACCCGGGAGTGCACCGAGTTTGGCCACTCTGACTCCTGCTGGATGCCCGGCCAGCCTTCTCCCAACCGCAAGGTATCCAAGAATGCCCCCAAGCTCTCCACCTTCGTGCCTTACCAAGAGATGGACGGGCAGGAGCAGCTGATGGCCAACGGCAGCCCCAAGCCCCTGCCGATGGAGGAGCGTGGACCAGGTGGTGGCGGCGGTGGCAGCAGCTCCAAAGTGGCCAACATGCGTTTCATGACACCCTACAGCAGTGCCTACCCCAGTGGCGGAGATTCATCCAGTAAAGACTGTGGCATGGAGGAGATCCCGCTGAGCCAGGCGGTGGAGTACCACTCAGCTACCACTCCAACCGGCCAAACCTCCAAGAGGGAGATCTACCTGTGAGGGCACAGCTCTCCACCTTAAAACCCACACTCATCGCCCAGCGCTCCCCACCGTGCCCTGCCGCTGCTCGCCACCACCTGTCGCGCCCCCTCACAGCTGCCCCCTGTGCCTATAACTTGCTGTGCCACAGCACCTACTCCCCCTTTTACCTTTTTTATAAATGCATCTACCTACAAGGCTTTAGCCCCCTCCACCTCTACCCACAGACACCCCCACCCCCTGCAAAAACCAATCACATGTAAAATAGAAGAAATTCAAAATCAATTAATGAAAATGCGGCTTGAGCTGCTTTGGAAGGAATGTAAACTACACCACTTGTTGTGATAATTTAAATGGGAAACTATTTAGCTACTCACGTTTTTCAGCTGGATTTTTTGTGTTGCTTTAGCTTTGTTGCTGTGTGGGACCGGAAAACGGAAAAAAAAAAAAAACAAACCTTCCGGGGGGTGAAGGGAAATAACTTCTTGTAAATCCTACTTAAGTATACTGTGTATTGCTATCTATCCTCATTTTCTTTTTTTGGATTTACTTTTCTTTCTAGTTTTTCTCTGTCACCTTCGAAGACACAGGGAAATATTACGTTTTTAAGCCAAGTTGCATCAAATCAACTGGCTTGTTTTTGTCAGGAGCAGCTCATCGTTAACGTGAGACATTTGTAGAAAGACAGCTGTTTTCCAATCTTGAGATATTTAGGGTTTCTTTTCTTTATTTTGCTGTGGAGAAGTCTTTTTTTTCATTGTACAGGCTGTAAATATTACAAACAGTGACAGTGGAAACTGCTGTGGCAGAGCGGATCCGTGGCCGTTAATCTTTCTGCAGCTCTTCATGTAACACTGGACTGAAAATGGTTGCATGTAGAGAGAAATGATGCCGTGGCATTCGCCGTCACACTGCAGGAACCTGGACTCTTGAGCATCACCAACGGTGCCGAGTTACAAACACAAGACTTTTTAATCATTTTTCCTCTGCTGTCCAACACTGGAACACGGTGGAATTTACGTTAACGAGGAAGCAGAAACATTAGAGGTGCACCGATACAACTTCATACAGAACTGAAGGAAACCTAAGTGCTTCTTTCAGAGTCTCAGAATCTAAGAAGCGATTATATTATTCATGCTGTTGTCAGTAGTATACCATAATATGATAAACTTAAACATGAATGTTACAGAAGGGTATCCAAAAATAGTCAAATGATGGTTTTCTTGCATCAAACTGATCATTTTTCTTTCTGGCATCGAATTATCTTCGATGCCATGATACATTCACATGTGAGAGACCTAAAAGTTTAAAGTGCTCAGCTTAAGGCAGCATTGTTCATTGTAAAGAAGAAATGATTACTCTGTTTATTGTGCAGTTTCTGATAACGGATTGATTACGAGCATTTGCATTAATGAAGCCGAAAAGGTTAAAAAAATTTAAAAAAAGCTTTTCAAATTAGTTAGAGTTTCGGCTTCTCCAGTCTGAAGACTTCCTGCTTTTCTGTATATCATTCTGAACTTAAGTGAGTAGCTTTTAGTTTGTCCAGTGGCTCCAGATCTCACAGATCTTTTGAGATTAAAATTTATAATCCAGTTGATCCAAATAAACAACTCAATAAAGTGTTAATGGAGAATCGTCATAGCTGTAGCTCTAGTCCGTGACAGCCTGTAAGCTTTTATTTCAGACTCAATAAAAAGTTTGCCTTGTGACATCACAGGAAAGGTTTAGAAGGAATTCAAATACCAGGGTTCACACTCCAGGGAGCAGAACATGACCTGTGCATTGCAATCTGTTGGATCTCAACATTTCTGATGTTTGCATCATCCCCAAAGAACATGAATGTCCAGGCATTATTTCATAAAAATCTTCTTGTAGTTGTGAATCAAACCATAATCATCCTTGAGATTCATCCTCGGAAGACCATGAATATCCACAGGGAGTGTAATATTGCTCTGTTTGCTACCACTTTAGGGTCAAAGTCACTGCCTACAATTAGTGCTACATGAGTATCTGTATTCATGCAGTCAGTGTCTACTGTTATCACCATGCCTGCTTGCAACTACATGACACCAAGGTCGCTGCTGACCATTGTCCAGGGCAGAGTTGTGACTAGACTACATTCAATTCGATGTCTATAAAAAAGGATCACCCAGCCTCATGACTCATGGAGCTTACAGTGTTGTAAGGTGGGGTGGGTGTGGCTTAGAAGGTCGACCAGGTCATCTACTAATTAGAAGGTCGATGGTTCCATCCCTAGCTGCTCCAGTCTGCATGTCAAAGAACTGGTATATTCGGAACCATGACGTGTGAATAGATAGGAAGCACTTAGGCGTGCAGTAATGGGTGAATGAGGCTTGTAGTATAAAGTGCTTTGAGTGCTCAAGGAGAGTAGAAAAGCGCTTAATAAGTATGAGGCCATTTACCATTTTAAAGCGTGCAGGAAGCATTACTGATTTTATTTGCTTCTTCAGAGGTGATCATCATCAGCATCACATCCATGTCGCACTTCTTACCACTGCTAGCTTGGAAGGCCACAGCGTCGGGAGCTCACTTTTAGAAAGTATTTGAATATAATCTAAGATTAATGATTTCCAAAATCTTCACTTAATCTTTCAAAGCTTAGCAGAGAGCGGAGATGTTGTTCGCGATGCCTGTTTTGTTTTTGGAGGCAGTCCCACAAGCACAAAGCAGCTGTAGGTTTCCTGATGCTGACAGTCCACAGAGTGTTATGGCTCCTTTATCCTTTACAGCTGTGGTGGGCTTCAGTGTGCTTGTGGTGACTGTGGTGAATGTTTCCCTGCTGTTTTTCGAGCTTGAAGGAAGAGCTCTCCAGTCTTTGTCGCCGCTCGTTATTTCCCACCTCTTTACCTTCTCAGTGTGAGGCCGAGCCGTGCGGCGTTTAGCAGAAGTATTTATTAAACCTGTTAGCTGTGTGCAGCGGGGGAGGTGGCTGCCATTTCCTGCAGTGCTGAAGTCGCATAGGAATGCAGGATTAATGACACCTGTACAGGCTCGAGTCCGCTAACACCCTCTCGGCACAGCACAGCACAGCACAGAAACTCTAATTACAACCCGAGGCTCGGCACATTACCGGCAATAATTTGCACCAGTAAAAGTGAGCTGGTTTGGAAGTTCATTCATTCTGAGGCTCATGTTAATGGCTGCTGAGGATAATGTGAGATTTCACCTGTAGTGATGCACGCCAGCTGGGAGTGGATGGATGAAAGGAAAGGCACAGTGAGAGAGTGTGCTGCAAAAAAATCTCCCGAACAAGTCATTTAGTCTCACACTGAGCTGGAAAGTCATAAAATAAAGAAAAAACTGTGGTGAGATTATTTTCATCAGCGTCCATCCCTACCTGGGATTTACCTGACAGTTTCTCAGGCAACTGATTAAAACATTTACATTTACTCTGATGTATATTTTCATGAAGGCTTGTATAACTCCAACCTAGAATCAAGGTCAGATGTTGAGTTTTATTGAAGAGCCATTTCAGAACATGCACATATTCACCCACAGAACTACTTCCAGCAAAGTACAACTGATGGCTGAAATTAAGCAACATATTTTCAGAATTTACAAGAAAGTCGTTCAATTTTGTTCACTTTTCTCAAGGCCCTCTCTTTTATTTTTATTCTCTTTTATTCATGTCCCCATATAAAACTACTACCCATAAACGCAGACAGTAAGATAGGCATTAACCAGTCCATGTGTGATTGTCAGCTGCATCAGAAGAATCCACAGTCTGTGAGACTCTCGGCTAATAGAAGCATGGCCGCCTCTGTTTGTGTCACCAGAGAGATAATCACATAACACAAAAACTCGGCTTTGCATTTAGTCTGAACACAGCGTAACATGCACCTTTTTCTTTTTGCATTTTTGGGCCTGGAGAAGAAATAGTAATGCACATCTACTAGGTGTCCATAATTAGAAATTTCAAATTATAAATCCCTTTGCCTTAACAGCTTCATCAAATTACGACTGTACAGAGAATATAACTCTTCATGTCTTCTAATAATTGTTGAAAGGCGCTACAAAATCTGGTAATGTTGCAAAGACTGGTTAAAATGAAAAGTGCATGTGCAGACTCTGCATCCAAAAAAACAGATTTTGATCTGTAATCTGAATACCAGCAGATTTGCCTGACCCACTCGATTCTGGAAGGAGACAGATGTCCCTTTGGGCTTCCGTCAGGAAGGGCGTTCAGCATTAAAAAAATCTAACAAATGAAACGTGCGGAGCTGCTCACTGTGACGAGCCATTGTGAAAAAGAGAACAGCTGACAGTAGCTTTATCCACAGATTTGTCAGTCCATCAATTAAAAAAGAAAATGTTCATTTTAATTAAAAAAAACCTCTTCAGTTAATCCTACACATATATGGGACTTATACATGACGGATATTAAATTCTGCTAGAAAGTGAATCTGCCTCATGTTGTCATTTCCAGAACTGCTCCCTTCCAGAAAAAGGCAACAGATTTGTGACTGTCTCACTCACACGAGCACAAAAGTCTTGATGAGCCTAAATGACTAGTCATTAATGTTTTACAGCATGTGACATGAACATCCTTTTCTCACAATCAAAGAGGGAACATCAAAGCGATGCCAACAAGCTGAGATGCCAGCGAAGAAAACACGGCAAATTGGGGCTATCGGAAGGGTCACGCAGAGGTCGTGTTATTGTTCTATTAGGCAAACAGTCGCCTTCACCAAGAGTTTCACAGTGATTCATGGCGCTGCCTTTTTGCTGGTGTTTTTGATGCATAATTGTTTCTTATTTTAGCATTTAGCATTTGGTGTATTGAAGCTCTCCGTGTGGGCTGTGTATGGTTCAAAGCGAGGTTTCTCTGTTGCCTCGACAATATTTGATTTTTGATTGATGCATCTCCCTCTTAAGAACCTGCACACACGGTCACTGTGTTCTGCATATAAGTCAGCCATCATTCAGCCACCATTCAGTCCTCACTGTGACACAGATTTAGAGTTCATAGGCCCCAGCGCCGCTCCTTGCCTTCCCCGTTCTTCCTCGGGTGATTTAAAGCTCAGAGCTCGGATTGATTATTTACAGGCCAACCTTAGAGGCCCATGTTGACTTTCCTCCTTCCTTTTCCCCTTGCCATGCTTCAAATTCAGCGTGAGTGAGTAATTATATTATTTTCTGTGATGCTTACCCACAGCCTGGATGGGCGATAAACTCCCAAGTGCCCGACATCTTATGCTGTGCAAGGCAAAGATAGGGGAGAGGGGGAGAGGTCATATAGCATCGGTATGACCTCAGCTCTTTCGCAGCAATTAACCCCAGACAAAGAAAAATGAACCCTGGTAATACCTGATGACCTTTGGTGAACTCTGCTGTCGCTGTTTGCTCTTTAGGCCTCCCGTAGTTTTGCTTGTGCATTAAAGCAAACGCGGGTACTGCTGGCATGTTTGCACAGTCACATCAGGCTTACGATGCTTATTACAGGCATGAAGAAATGTGTCAGGGCTTGAGCGTTCCTATATTAGAGGTCCAAAAGTACGTGGACACGTAAATGTTCGCGTCTTATTGTTAAACACGTGGTTATAATAACAACCTCTGGAGCTGAAAAATGAAGCAAAGTGTGAACTGTCAGAACTCCCATGTTTACTGCAGCCTTGTGGACAGCGTCCTCCAGTTCTAGGGTGAATTATAATTACTATTATTATCATCATTATTTTAATATTATTATCATTTTAAATTCATATGGGTGTGTGGCCACTTTGATTGACCAAATTAGCCATTCAGTACCGGCTTGTCCTCACCTTTGTTAATCTGAGTCGCTAAACTGGACTTCTCAATTGTAATTGTGCTGTCGGTGTACTTTGAGCATTTCTAATGGGCTTACTGGACAAATGAAATAGCTTACATTGCGATACAGCCCATACAAGAAGACTTTGCTTCCACTGTGATGTATGAATTTCAGTATTTCATTTGTATCTTAGCAGATGAGTGGGTCTGTGTGTTGAGGTGGAGTGCTAAGTAATCAGCTTACTATGATGCTTCAAAATGTGGAGCCCACAGCCAATGGGAGAGGTCATGGTGGCTACATCCATCCATATACAGTCGATTACATCATCATGGGTACCAGCAGATTTTGGAACCCAGTAACAGAAATTTGCAGTTGTTTGGTAACAAAGCCTGTCATGTGGTCCAGCTTATCCCAAAGGTGTGAGCTGTGGTTGCGGTCAGGCTCGGGTTACAGCAGAGTGGGAAAACCATTTTGAGAAAATCTTTCTTCTTCTGTTCTTTTTTCAAGTAAAGCACAGAGTCAAACTATGAAGTTCAAAAAAATCTGAAAAAAAATGTTGATTAGTTCAGATACAACCAGCCATATCATATACGGAACAGTCATTTCAGACTTTTTTGCAATGTTAGGTAAAAACCCCACGTCAAAAGGAGAACCAGCAAGAACTTGGCAACAGTCAGTGTTGGGTGTAACACATTACTGTAATCACATTACATCTTTCAGTAATGCAGAAATGTAATGTGGGTGTATGCAGACTCCAGCCCAGCAGCCAGAGACTGAACGTCAGCAGGTAACAGAGGCAGTGATGAGCAGTCAGGGTTACACCTCAGTTTCTACCTGTTCATGTTTCTAAACTAGAATCATTGTGGCGATGGCTTTGAAGTCTCTTTTCCATCTTTGCTTTGTGCTGTGTTCATATGTAAATACTGAAGGATCGTATATCCTCATCAGGAATAAGGATTTATGTTGGTGTGTGGGACTGTAGCGTGAGGTTTACATTAACTGGTGATTATGAGACAATGTGTTTCAGATACGCCTGCATAGTAACAAGAAATTAATAAATGAGTAGTGTAACAAATTACTTTCTCTGGTGAGCATACTGCATTACTTTTAAGAAACATGACAAGTAATGTGTAATGCATTACTTTTTTTAAGTAAAACAGGGTTCCAGTGAGGAAGGAGAAATTCTTTTTACTATAAAGACCCGTAAGCCAACAGAGCCAGGCTCAGGGAAAGGCAGCCATCTTCTGTGACTGGTTTGGTTGTTAAAGGTCTCTGTACTCCTCTTCTGTGTCCTCACAAACAAGACAGTCCTCCAGCAGACTGGGCCTACAGCAGCATAACTAAAGGAGGGTTTAGGGTCACCTAATCCAGCTTTATTAAAAAGGGATGATAATCTGAGGCTAATATTAAAAGTAGACACAGATTTTTATTTATTTATTTATTTATTGGAGAGGGGGCACGATCTAAAACATTGCATGACCATAAGTGTTTGGTGTCTCAAACAAGCACTTCCTGCTCCCTGGTGGAACACGTGAACCCCAAAATCCACCACCACCCATCAGCCCCTAGCAGAACACAGGTGTCTCTGCATGCAGTGCACTCACATCCTGCTGCTTTTAAATAGAGGGAGCTTTCCAGTTACAGAAAAAGAGTATATCTGTGTTTATTTCTGATTCTGCCAAAGTATAGAATATTAGATATTCCAGAATAAATATAGATGATAAAAATATTCAGCTGGGCCTGAGAGAAAGAAATAAAACAGCAATTTAATGTATAATCTTTTTATGGAGCTTGAGTCAGCTGCAGTTCGTCCTTTCAGTCAGCAAACACAGACATGAGGAGCTTTATAAAAAAATCGGATGCGTTATCAAATATAAGCATCTCTAAGGGAAAGGATATTGATCAGAAACTGTATTTGACATTCATAGCTGAGTGCAACTTAATGCATATGTATCTACAGTTTTCGTTCCTTTTTCCGCCTTCATACTTCTGTGCAGCTTTTACTAATAAAACGCAGCAAGTTTACCTCTCAAAATCATTCGTGAAAACTGTTTTAGGATTAAAACGCAGACCTTAAATTAAAAATGTGCTTTTTGCCATTTCAAAATGTTTTGCCACCAAAACAAAAAAAACATTGGTTTACCCTTGATGTATTATTAACAGCTAAAGTGCCCTACCATAGTTTGCTTCTGAAACACTTTATAGACTGATTCATGACTCCAACACATAAACATCTCCCAGGAACGGTTTATTTTTAAAATACACATTGGTTTACTACTGACAGGCATTATTTATGTATGAAATCCACAGCTGTACTTAACAGTGGAGAAAAGTTTGCTTTCCTAAAACGCAGACTGTGTCTCAAGTCGTCAGACTCTTAAAGCTGAACTTATTTATAGTCATTGCTTAACAATGACACGAGTCGTTGTGACATACCTTTGACATACACGTGTTACCAACTCTCGAGCCTTGCTCATGGTTTTTTTTGGCGCTCTCACCTGAAGCTTAAATTCACTTTAAAGAAGCAAAAAAGAAGCAATCTAATCTTCCAAGGCTAAGATAAAGGATTATGTTGAACTCTAAATCATGAAAAGTCACTCAAATTTCAACACAAAGATCAATGGACAAGCAACAACCAGCTCTTAACTGGATGCTGTTGCTTTGTACAACAGTCCAGAGTTGTTCATTAGATCAGCTTTAGGAGAGTACAGTTTGAGACGCAGTCTGTAGTTCCTACTTTTAAAACCTTTTCATGAACAGCCCTGATCCAGCTGTGAAACTCTGGTGGTCCCTTTATGGATCACGTCTATATCTGTGAGTTCAGCTGAACGGTGGATTTTACAGTTTGAACAAAAGGTGAATGTTTTTGGTTTGCGAGTTACTCGGTTTTGCAAAAGGTTCACTTTGTTCTAACACACAACGGGATTGATTTAATTCAGCATTTTTCCCTCCTCGGGCTGACTCTGTCAGCGGTGTCGAGAGTCTGTCGGTAACATAACGACTCAGTGAATTCATCTTTCCTCTCTCTTTCTTCTGTCCACTTATATTTAGACCGGAACCACTTTGTGGCTCTCGTGTAATCAGTGTTTTTATATCTGGGGCGTTTGCATTGATAATTGTGTTTAAGTCACAGAAATAAACGGCAGCTTTCATCACATTTAACTCAAAGGGAAACAAAAGACCTCTGTTTATTTTTGAAATTCTTCATTACTGCCACATCTCTGCTTTGCCGGATCTATTTAAGGGTCAGTTTTACGCTCAATGTTGACTTTTGTAAACAACTTTAAAGAGGCTGAACTAAGTGTACTTGAACCGTCATGACTTTTACCACTTTGAGCACCAGAAGCCTGGGTCCTACATTGAATATTACTGCATCAGACTCTAAACTCATGTTTGAGGTTTAGTTATTATTTTTGATGAAAAGACCATTTGGCCACCATTTGAACGCCATTGTCACCATGCTAATTTGATTTGCGTGACGGTAACCGGTGGATTCTTTGTCTTGCACTTCTGGAGTGCAGAAGTCTACAGAATAAAGGCGGGCGATCACATGAGAGCTGCAGACGAGTTCCACATGAAATCACGTGATAGACTTTGGAGTGGCTTGCTGTTTTTTGGTTGTGTATTATACTGAGGCTGGAGTCTCCGCAGTCGAAGCTTCAGCTGAGCATGAAACAAACCAACTTTATAAATATTATACATTTTTGTTGTTGTCACAGTTGTTTTATCAATGTTATGGAATCAACACTGCTATAGACATACTGTATGAATATAAATGGTTGTTGCTGTTTTCTTACCAGACGCGGCATGTAAATGATGATGATGATATCTGTTTTCTGAGCAGGCAGACTGGACTCTGTGTTTTCTATTTCTTTACTCCATCATGACTGAAAGCCAGACCCGGCAAGCTGAATGGAGAATGTGAAAGTTTAGAGTTATTTTGCGATTACACAATCAATAAAATTAAATGTTGATTTCCCAAAACATAAAACAGTTGATCTCGACAATAAGACGAGAGCCACGTCTTGGTTTGCGTGAAATGGATCTTTGTCGACGGTGCCTGCAGACACCTTTACCATTATGCGATCTCTTTGGGTGATGCAACAGAAAAAGGGGAAGAATACAAAATTACAGAATCACGTACTTATCTCACGTAACTACTTCGATTTTTCTGGTAATGATGAGCAAAGGATGTGACATCTGGAGAGAAACTAAAGTAAACAGAATTTCTTGGAGCTCCTAAAGTGCTAATCTGTGCTTTTTATGTGTTATTTTGTGTGCTGAAATTAAAAGGACTTTAAGGGCTCCATTAAAATTCTTTGAAGAAAGGAATTAATCAGTTTATAATCACTTCTTTTGATGTCATTTATTTATCTCCCAGAGATATCTGATGGTTACAAAAAGAAGAAAAAGAGAAGAAATCGGGACCGCAAATCAGCCAGTGAAAAAATAACTACAAGGTTATCATCATCACACAAAGTGATGTTAGTGGAGATAACTATTGTATAAGGGTTTTTTTGTTGTTGTTGCTTTTCTTTTTTCTTTTTTTTTTGAGAAAGGCAAAGTTATTTATTTGAGATGTGGTTGTGAGAATTTTTTAGGGTCCTAAAATTATTTTGTTGTAACCTTGGAGGTAAAAATCCCAGAAAACAAATTCTAAACGGTGGCATTGGGCTTCCTTGTGTGAAGAATGTTGTAAAGATTCATATTGTTTTAGAAGAGAAGAAAACAGCAGGACAGAACCGCCGAATCACTTTTCGTCTTTACAGGAAGTCCACGTTTGTAGCCTAATTGTTGGTTGGTTATATTTATATAGGAAAAATGCTAGTGATGCCTTGTTTTTTGTACAGTTTTATGTACATGCAAGTGTAGGTTTTTTTTAAAAAAAATGTCAATAAAAAATATATATATATATTCAAACAACATGAAGGAAGTCTGACCTTGAACCTGTAGGATTATATCGTCTCAAGTACCGTAGGCTCTATTAAATGTAGGAGTGATGCGTCAGGCTCAGAGCGGAGGTTGGCAGTGCGCCTCCTCCAGTCACCCGTCTGCTTTACCGCTTTCTGTTCTCTCATGTTCATCTCAGCCGAGTCTTAAGACAAACTGTACATGAATTTTTGTTGTTTTCAGTCTTTTAATTTTCTTGGAGGAAGTTGGGTAATGTGTTTGTTTGAGCCTCATCTGTTCTCTTTTGATCAACATTCGCATGTTTGAATTTGAAAAAAAAAAAATGTGGTCTTTTATTTTTGCTGAGCAAATCAAAGAAATGATATCTTGTAATTACTCCTTCCTTATAGCTTTACAATAAAATACATCAGTCAAAGAAACATCCCGGCTGTCGCTCAGTTTGTCTTGCAGGTGTCAGTCTGCAATGAAATCACGTGTTTTTACTAGAAAACAATGTGGCTTGCTCTTATTGGCCAGCATAAAATCTAGAATACTGGATCCGTTGTTTCTGATTAAGAAATGTTGCTATGCACGTTTCTGCAGTGAATAAATGTCTTTGGCATATTTCTGTGCAGCGCAGGTCAGCAAAGCTCTTGGGACAAATCTGAACGTGCCAATCAAAAACAAAAGCCTCCTGTAAATCTCCCTGCCACTGAATGTGCCAGAGTGCAAAATCACACAAAAGAACCAATCAAATAAATATCAAAAACTGCGACTTGCAGTGCCTTCAACCATTCAACGATGCAAGGGTGGGTGGTGCTGTCCTGAACAATAGCGTATTTTCCCAACGTCAAAATCTCTGATTTTATAAAAGTGGGAAGACATTACAGCCTTCATCACACTTTTAAGAAAATAATCTGAACGAACTCAAATACAAAGACCTACGTTACCTTCATGAAGCAATTCAAATATACAGTAATGCCTTGTAACAGGATGTCTGTGATCCATTTACACTATCACACGTTTAAAGTCACCAACACAGCGTACCAGGCTGAAGCTGTGTTAGAGTAAAATTGTAGGTTATGAGGTGATTTCCAAACAGTTTGCAGTTCCTCATTTTACAGTGAGAGAGATTCACAAGTGAAAAACATTCAAGGTGCTTGCCAATGTTCCAATGAGTGGACCTACCAGCAAATTCACATTGAGGTGGAGCCTGCCTTTGAGCATTGCATGTTCTGATCTCAGACAGGTTAGGATGTTAAATAAAAAACTGGAAACTGGAGAAACACTGAACAAGTGTGGTTTGTTTCCAGGAGAAAAGCCTCTTCTCTCTAAAGACAACATGGCTGCACAGCTTAGCTTAGCAAAGCTCCCCCTGAACAAACCACAAGACTATATATAATAATATTTTGAGGTAAACTCATGCATTGCCATTAAAAAAAAAATGAAAAAAATGAAATAGCAAAATTCTATGTGATAACTTTTTTGTAGTTGTACGTTTATCCACCAGTCTCCACTGATGATGATGACATCATATCCTTGTTTCAGTGGAGGACATTTTATTTATTCTAAAATAGTTATTAGACTGTAAATCTATAAATTCTTAATATTTTTTTTATTTTTTTTAAAAGCCCCATACACTGATGTTTTCACAGCTCACACCACTACAGTTGGATGAGAACGAGCATTTGAAGTCTAAAGTCAGAGAACCAGCAGGTCTAATTTTGCTTTCATGAGTTAGTTTGTTAATCACTTTTTTATTAAGCTGATGCACAAATAACAGCTGACTGAAGTAAATGTGATGCTCTGTGTCCACATGAATACCTTGATAATTTATGTTAAAAAAAAGACACAATTCACACAAGCAAACAAATTTAAAAAAGTGAAAACTTTTATTTGGAGAGAACATTTTAAGAACCAACAAGGTTTATGAAATTAAAAAGAAACATGATTAAGTCATATACCTGCTATATATGCACTCATGCAGTCATCCATAGGTCAATAACTTTGTCATGAAGTGATGAACATAGGAACTGTGCTTAATATTTCTTGTATACCTCTTGTTTCAAAATGTGCAGCTTTTACTTTGAAGGCGACCTGTTGCTGTGTCTAGTTTGTCTTTCTCTTGTTCGCTGATGTCTTGGTGCACAGATCTACATCACACGCCCTCGTCCATATCCAAAGTGACCATATGAAAAACAAAATGTACACATTATTTAGACAATATTTACATCTGAAGAATAAATTCACATGTATAACCATCTATATTTGCTTAACGAGGTCAAGGAAAATAGGGAACACCCACAAACTGGCGTTTCTCATTATACAACTTGAACAACTGCACATGAATTATACTTTTTACATTGCAGACTCCCTTCTGTGAACATTCACTGTACAAACCAAAGTCTAAAATAGTTTCCAGGAAGATTGCAAGGATTTAGGCTCTCAGTCACTGGATGTGCTTTTAGGAAAGCTGAAATGAGTCAGTCAATAAAACTGTGAAAAATAAATAGAAATGGGTTCGATGACACAAAAGAATTTACAACAGCCATTAGCTTGTCACAAGAATGATGTTCATGTTCCTGCTGTTCACTTAGTTAAACACGAGCCTTGTTACATGTGTCGCTTCAGAATGGGGACAATGCCAAGCACAATTTCACGTCGGCTGTCTTTATTTAACACTTTTTATACCTCTGCACAGCCACATCTGCAGACACATCTGTCCCTTCCCATAAACCTGCAGATGCTGAGTCTAAATGAAAGATTGATGGTCAGCCTGATGGAGGGGTTACATAAGGGTTCTGTGTTATGTACCTGGAGTAAATACTCCAGTCTGAAGATGATCATTGAGACCATGACTCTCTTCTTGCCTTCCAAAAGCATGAGAGTCTTTCATGTAGGCATAATAAAAGTAAACCTAACTGCCCATTTTAAGGTCTGTGAATGGAAACAAAGCTTCTGGTTGCACAGATTTATAACATTTTAAATCACACTCTGTGGCTGATTAGCTCAAATTAGCATGCCACTATATCTCTAAACAGTTCAAACAAATCCACCTCCTAAACATCTGCAGCGCTTTAATTTAACAGGCCTGCTGTGTCATGTCGTTCAACAGCTGTAAAAAACAGGATGTTTTGTGTGAAGTTGTGGGACAGATGAAAAGAACTATAGTGATAAAAAATATTAGACTTGTGGAGAGCTGAGACATCAAAGTCACGAACCAGGGCTAACTGAACTAGGACAGTGCGTTACGAGTGAAAATTGTGTTTGGTGGAAACTGAAAATGTAATGCAAGAGCACATCCGAGTTTCAGGTAAGTGCCAGTTTTTGTGCTTTCTCCCTCCCCTTGACTATGGCAGATGGACGCCCCTCTCAGACCCTGCTTCTGCTGGAGGTTTTCCTGTTAAAAGGGTGTTTTTCTTTCCCAGTATTTGGCAATACTGGGAAAGAAAAACACCCTTGCTCAGTGCTTGCTCAGAGGGAATCTTTTTATTGTTGGGGTGTTCTCTGTATTGTCTTTAGCTTACAATATACAGCATTTTGTGGCAGCTGCTGATTTAGTGCTATATAAATAAAACAAGACTGAATTAAAGTAATTAAAGTAATTAAAGTAATTTGAATTGCAAATTACTTTCCAAGTATTTTTTAAACATTTTTTCCTGCAGACAGCAAAATCCCAAACCAAGCGTCAAAACATGGAAATGACATACAAAGGTTCAATCTATGATTTTTTTCAAAATAAAGAGTTAAATCTAATCCCAGCTGTGCCAATGTGGCAATTTGAACATCTATGGCCTCCTGCTGGGAAGGCTGTATTTTCTGATCAATATCAGCTGACAGCAGAACCTCAGGAAACAGCCGACCTCTCTTTCCAAGTGTCCTTTCGTTGGACTTCCATTATTCCTTATTCTGTAGTCCACAAACTTTTGTCCAATTTAAAATAAATAACTTGCATTGGCTGATACCAATAACCTGCTAAAGTGATTAATTTTTTTGTCACATTATTAAGAAGTTCGGAATGATCAAACTTTCAGCTACACTTTGTAACCTATTTGTAGCCTAAATTCCCGGAGGACGACCTCGGTTTCTCCATGGGAAGAAAAAGCAGATTTTGCTGTCCCGGTTTCCCAGCGATGGAGAATGAACAGTTTCCACGGGTATACTTCCTCCCGTTCTCAGCATAAAACGTTTCCGGCTCCATCTTCAGAGTGACTTACAGCCTTTTCAGCGTCGCTCACCTGATGTTCCTAAGGAGTCGTAAACACCTCGCCTCGGTTTCTTCAGCGTTATTGGATTCCACTTCAGGAAATTGACTCGTGAATCCTCAAGTTGCAGAGTGTCATGCCCTAAAGTGAGACACCACCCAATCACATTTCAATAAAAACAAACCCTGTATGTGGCTGTTGTGCACGAGGAATATCAAACAGACTCGGAGGAAGGCACTTTGACACTGTGCTTATAGCGCTGTTGCATCGCATTACAGCAGTAAATTGAAATTCAGGGCAAAATGATTAAATTCATTGCCGCACAATATTTCTGGGAACAACAAAAAGAAAATATTATCACAGCTTGTTTTGAGGAGGATGACACACTTGCAGCAGGTTGCTTTTCTCCCCCCTTTTTTTTCCCCACAGGTTTTTATCACTTTACCCTATTTCTCATCTTCTAGTTTATTTAGACTGTTTGTCTTCACTTGCCTCGTCCTCCTCCTTTTCTCCTCATCCATGCTTTCACTGTTGCAGCCCAAGTCCTGCACACTTCATGCATCTTATCCCCCACATTTAATTTCTCCCTTATTTTTTTCATGCTCTTCTATTTTCTTCTACTTTTTGGTGATTTATACTTTATTCTCACTTCTTTGTCACCTGTTGCCTTTCCTTCACTTGTGTCCTTCCAAACCTTATTGCCCCATCTGGCCTTTTAATTCCCTCAATTTTCTCTCTAATCTTTTTTTTTTGTTGCATTCTTTTCTTCCTTACCAAGTTTTTTCCTTTTTATCTCTTCTCTATTTTCCCTCATCTTTATCGTTTGTTTTCCGTGTTTCCAGTCTTTCCTTCTGTCCCCTCTCTCTCACTGCATCAATGGTTTGTGTGTCCTTGCCTTCATCATTGTTTCCTGTTTGCTCCTTTATTTTTCTCTCCACTTTTACCGTCCATCATATCTTCATTGCCATCTTAACCTTCTGCCTCTTTATCTTTCTGCTTATTCCTGCCTTTCAGCTTCTTTCAGCTCCTGTTTCCTTCATTCCTTCATTTTGACGGCTTTGTTGATTTTTTCCTTCT